GACTCGGTCTCCTTTGTTGGCTTTTGTGGGGACCCTGCAGATTTGGGCATAACACTTTCATCCAACATGAGTCAGTGGTTTGGGAGAGATATGTTTTATCAGCGAAAAATGATATTTACTCACAAGTTTACTCCTTTTGTGTTAATGATAATTAAACACAATTATAACAGTAAACCTTTTAAAAATTAAACTTTAAGATGATTAAAGATTCATTGTTTGTAAATGTCCTAAAGTCAGTCTCTTTCATAAGGGAACCTTATTTGATATTAGGCTGTAAATTGCAAACTATCTACTTTAGTGGCTCTCTGTGATAAATAGGCTTTTTTTTTAACTGTAAAAATGCATTAGTGACAATTTTTTTGTGTGTGTCAAGTTTCCAGCTGTGGCTTCCCTGACAATAAAATGTCTTTGGCTATTTGACCTGACACCAATAGTCACAAAAGAGAACAAAAGGAACCTGCTTCCTCCTTGTGGGGTGGACTGCTGGCTGCATTCTCCTGCCTGTCCTTTCTTACATTGTAAATTTTTATTTAACATTTTGTGTCTTCCAGGAGAAACACAGCAAAATTAAAAGCCACAATCTTTGGCTTTTGACTCCTCAACTAAGGTTTTTTTTTTTTTCCAACATAATATTCGTATCGATTATTTGAAAATTTCCATAATGCAACCCAAGCACACCGACTTCCTGGTCCCTCCATGATCATCCCCATCCTTGTAACCTATTCCAACAAAAAAGGAGGGGGGAGAAAAGAAAGAAGAAAAAAATAAGGAAAGGAAAAAATTTGAGTCCATTTTCTGTTGCCAATGTACTCACTGGAGGATGGTCAAACTCCCAGTGGTCATCCCCTTAAAGGACACTGGGACCTTTTCCACCTGCCCCCCACCAGATGTCATCAGTTTTGGAGAGCTACACGTTTTTATTCTTTTTTACTTTGCTGTTACTTTTTGGGGGTCACAGAGTGGTGGTAGGGGTTGGCACAGAAACCTCTGTGTCCCTGTTTCAAAACTGTGAATGTGCAGTAATCAGTATCACTGTAAAATTAGCTTCCTTGCCCTTTACAGTCAGTGGGATCATGATTCATGGACTTCTACTTGGTTTCTGGCAATAGCACTGACTACGAACATCCACCTGGTCTATGGACTCAGCACTTTCCAGGAACTTCCTTCTGATCTCCTGTGGGAGTGCAGACAACAGGATGGCCCTCTGCTGAAGCACAGATCACAGATGCCACCACAGTCTTTATCAGCAGCACAGGCCTAAGTTGTCAACAAGGCCTCTGGGGTAACATGGGTCATGAACACCACTATGGACCGCAGTGACAGCCAGGCCCATGAACATCAACATGGCCTCTGGTACCGGCACAGACCACAGATATCCACATGTACCCATGAGACTCAAAGGCCACCCACGTCAAAATGGCCCTCCAGAGCAGCACAGTCCACAGAAATCAATATCTCTAACATGTCTAGGCAATGGCACTAACCATTGATATCCCTGACGGTCTTAGGTGGTGACATGGCCTACATTCATCAGGACAGCCCCAGTCACATCACGGCCATGACCCAGACATAGCCCTCAGTAACAGCATGAACCACAGATATCGACATGGCCTCAGGTGAACGCACAGGACACCAACATCAACATGGCCCTCAGAGGGCTCAGGGACCATGGATGTCAACAGACAGTGCTTCAGACAGTGGCATAGACAATGCACATCCACATGGCCCTGAGCAGTAACACAGGCCTCAGACATCAACACAACCCCTGGTTGCTGTAGGATCAGTGACCCAAACATGGCCTGCATCCACAGCATGAACCACAGACATCAAAATGGCTTCAGGTGGCAGTACAGCTGGGGAGTTGAGAATGCACAAACTCCAGGCTTCTGAACACCATCCTGCCGACCCTATTGGGCATCTACAGGTTCCCCGTCAATCACAGGCATCTCTCATACCTGTCGCAGCTGTGGTGTCCCTGCTTCGGTCTCCCACGAACACCCACCACATTGTTCCTTCATCTTTCCCACTTCTGCATCATATACCAATTTATCATAGTGTCATTGGAAACTAGTGTCACAAAGAAAACTTTTTGCTCAAGCAGCTATACATGCAACTATTCATTGCAATAAGTTGTTAGTCTGGTTCTACGTTTCTGGCTTCTTACACATCGTAGAGACTGACTCATCACTGAGATTCCTCCTGGATATCCTGCTGTTGACAAGAGTCATGGTCTTCCTGTGGCCCTTTGTCTGTAGTACTAGCTCCTTTCTGTGATCCAGAAGCTCTTAGATGAAGTAGATGTTGGAGTGGAACAACTCAAAGCACTGAATCTGGGACCAGATTGTTGTCAAGTTGGTCATTCTTGGCCACTTGTTTGGCCACCTGTCTTGGCAGGGCCTGTCTTCTACCCTCCTTTTTTCTTTTCTTTATTTTTTAACCACACTTTTTTTAGCTTGTCTTAGAAACTAGGCAGTAGTGTCACATCCCAGAACTAAAGAGGATTATAAAACTAAAGGAGACAGCTCTCAGGCTCAGTGTCATTCCAAGGTTTCCTATAGGCAGGATCATCATTTGTGAACTGAGATCGAGATAAGAGCCAGTGGCTGGCTTCTTTGCTTTTCTGGTCTTCCGGTTGAAACTCAACATCTATCTCTGAGTTTTTATTAATCTTGCTTCAGAAAACCAAAAGAGGAAGATGAAGGAGAGAGCAAAATGAAAGTGTATGGCCAAAAAGGCAGGGCTGTTCAGGAATGAGGAGCTGGGGAAGGGAAGCCCAATCCTGGAGAAGTTTAGTCTAGGGTAAGGGTGAGATGACCTGAGAAGAGTCAAGGGTACTGGATGAGCCTGGGTCCAGCATGTGCCTAGGTATGCCAATAGACACCACAGATAGCCTTCTGTCCCTAGGAGGTTGATGAGGAATGGCCCGTATGAGAGGAAAATGTTCATTAGAAATTGGGGACTGGAGTTTCCTTTGGACCTGACATATCTTCAAAGTACTTCCCTTCATGGAATCTAAATATTAACAGTTTGGTAGAAACCATGGTCTAAGGAAATCCATTGTTCCTTCAGGCTCTACTTCTCCAGAAACCAGCAATGTTACATAATTTCCATTTAGTAATTGCTCTTTAAGAGACAAGCCATGCCCACTCCCTTCTTCCTTGCAGCCTCTGCCCCACTCTCCTTCCTTCCTGTCCCCTCTCTGGGAGAGACATCTTCTGCCTGCCTTCCTCCCCACTTCTCTGTTTCCCCCTTTTTTGTCTTGCTTCCCTTTTTCTTTTCTCTCTCTTTTTTCTCTCTCTCTCTTGTTCTCTCTCTCTCTCATCCCTGCTCTCACCTTTTTCCTTCCCCTCCATAACCCAACTAATAAATATCCAATTCTTTTCTGTATGATGTGCCTTTCACTGTGCCTCCCTGCTCACACCACTCACCAGGCTCACCGGGGACCAGCCCGTCACCACATAGCTGGGTTTTGTACCTTAGTTTGTACACCTGCTGCCACTGGGATCCCGCAGCCAGCTGCTGGAGACCCGCAGCAAATCCATAACAGTAATATCAGGTCTAATTTTGTACCCTTCTTCTTCTGGTGTAATTTAAACTGTGACACCTTAAAACACAATGTTGTCAAAATCATCAAATCCTAGAAGTTCAGCAACGATTTCTTTATCACTCTTCGTCACAGTGGGAGCTCTTAATCCTATACTCTTGTCCATAGCTCTAGTGGCAGGATCTGCCATAGGTTCATGGTCGCATTACAAGCCATGGCTATGCAGGAAGTATGTTTTACTTTAACAAGTGCACAGTGGTTCCTTCCAGTTACGGCACCCATGCTTGGTCTGGACACAGTTGATAAATGACACAGATCTCTGAATCCTCATCGCCTCCATCTTGCAGCAAGACTGACTGAGGCTCCCAACTGCATGACTGCAGTGAATCAAGTGAACGTTTCCAATATGGACAGTGCTTGCCAGACAGCAGAGCCCCTGACAAAGGCATGGGCAGACTAAACGTGAACATATAGTTAGCCTGGGGTCTCCTCTGCTGCTTTCACACTAAGTTGCACTAGGAACCAAAGTTTTCATCACTTAAAGGGTAGATAGAGTCCAAGTTTAAAAGGAGCTGGGTAAGAGAGGATGTGGAATCTTCAGGGGTGGGGTATGGGTCATCCATGCAAATGCCTGTGGTCTCCCATTGCTCGATGAGTAATCCCTAATAAATTCATTTCTATTCATTGAGATGAACTTAATGAGTCAGTCTTTGGGCAGTGGAAAGGTCAGAAGTTAGGATAAATGTTAATTTTACATCTCCCCAGAAAAGTCACACCACAGTTGGTCAACAAATATTTCAGTATATGCAAATGAGACTATATACTAGATGTATATTCAAACTAAGTGTGAAAATAAATACAATAAACTGCTATTTCAAACATATTTTCAGATTATTTAAACTCAAGGAATTTATTTGATTTGCTGTTTATTTTCTTTTCTTAAGTTATAAACAGTTCAGGAGAAATTAAAAATGTAGCAAGGGCAAAGTTGTCAAACTCCTGAAATCACACCTTATTAAAACAGACAAAGATTTATAAATCCAGCTGTGCTGTTTTAAGGTAATCATGTGTTCTGGCAGGGTTTTAATCCTAAAATAACACCACCTGAAATTATTTTAATGTATGTTTTAAATAACTTGCCACATATGTCCTAGTTTAAAACAATCTATTGAATAACAATGTTTTGGATGAAAAAAGTTTCAGATGATAAAAATAAGGGGATTTTTGTTGTTGTTGTTTTAAAGTGCAATGACGAGCAAAAAACCCTCATTGGTGACTAAAGTATTTATTCACTGACAAAGAGAAAGCCTTGCTGAAAAGTGGTGCTGATAAACTGGATGTCTGCAGGTAAAGAACCTTTCTCTGTTCACACCCTGTAGCGCACTCAGCTCCAAATGTACCAAAGACATCAACACAAGACTTCAGGAGTCAAAAAAAAAAAAAAACCCACTGGGTTTGTGCCTAAGAATCACTTCCTGAAATGAAGAGCCTGTGGGCTGGACAGGCTACAGGGAGGAGAGAGAGTCCAGAGATCCAGAGGACAGATATGCAAGATCCAGGAGATGCTGCTGAACTGGAACCTGTTGACAAACCTGGGATACCCTGCTTTACTGGCTGAAAGAAGGGAGGCTCAGACCTGAGTCCTGCACTCAGCAGGCAGGGCCTCTGCAGGCCTGACTGAAGCTCTCAAGCCTGACTCCTCCTCCAGCCAAGGCTTCTGCAGAGAATTCATAAGAGGAACCCATCTGAACATTGCCCAACCTCCACTCACAGGGTCCAGAGGAAGACCATCTGCCATCTGCACAGACTCTGATGCCTGCCTGGCTTCCTGGAGGAGCTGGGTCTCTTTCACTTTCAAAAACACTTTTACTAACTGAGAAGCCTTGGCCAGGGAAGCACGCATCAGAGAGCCCCCTAAAAGAGCAGGGTGAGTAGTGGGACCAACAGAGTCCACCGAACTGTTTGAGTTATGGGAAGATAAGTGTGTCAAGGCATACTGTGGCAGACATGGGGGATCTTTTCCTGAGAGCCAGGGCCCAGGCTCCACCCCTGCTTGGAGAATCTGCAGGCCAGCTCTAGTGGGTGGAAGGTCACTGGATTTCCCTGTATGCTTCATGTGTCTGCTCCTGTCATAGCTTATCCTGCACCCTTCTCTCTCCTGTCTGTCGTGAACCTGCAGGATTAAGGGTCCTGAGTGGGGAGGTGTTAGAGGGAAGCCTGAGGATGAGAAATAAAGAAGAAAGAAACAGTCCATGGGACCAGCAGGGCTTGACTAAGATGATAACTTATCCCATGCAATTTGTTTAAAAGTACAATCTCATATAAACTATTTCCAGGGGAAAGTGGCTAATGTCAAAAGAGAGCTATATCCATCACTTTCTATGGCTAGTCTGGGCCAAGTCTTCACTGCTGTGGTTCTTCAAAGTTAGAGACCTAGATTTCCTGTCTGCTGCTGGTGGTGGGAGCTGTGCCCTCCTCCGGGAACAGTACGGATTCTGCACCAACAAACACAAGCTGGTCGAGAGGGCCCAAGACTTAATTAAGGACCAGACAAAGATTCAGTGACTGTCATCTTCCTAAGGGTGGGCTTTTGTTCCCTCCTACTCTGGCTCCACCCCTTGATCTCTCCATTCCTCCTCCTCCATTTTCCCTGTCCTTTAAAAGTTTCACACAAGTTCCTCCTGGATCAAGTCACTGCCATCACTAGGTCCACGTTAGGACAATGGGTACTTTGACTAGGATCTTACTGGGTCTCCTTTCTTGAGTCTCATCTTACTCACTGTAGCCCCAACTATTAATGGTTTTTAAAGGTTCCTCTGGGAATGAATGACAGCAATCACAAGAACCCACTGCAGCAAATTAAGTTAAAACTGCTTTCCTGGTTCATGAAGTCCTCCAAATCTATATCCCTTTAAGCCCTAGGAATAGAGCCTAGCTCCACCTCTGCCTTCTCCTCCTGCCAGAAGCAGGCAATGAGAAAATATACCCCCTTCTTTTAATGGGTCCACAGTGTTAGATAAATGACCTTAATGACCCAAGAGAAGAAACCTTAGAAAAGTTGGGAAACGCCTTCTCGATAAAAACTTCCCTGACTGGAAAGCCAATGTAGTACCAAACACATCTCCCAACACCATTAAAGAAACCATAAATAACACCCCCACTGATTAACCTTCTTTCCAGAGCCCCCTCTTCTGCCCTATAATGTCCAAACACCTGCACCTGGGCACACAGTCTCCATCCCCAGGAGAGACTGGAGTCATTCAGTGGTTCTGATCAGAGGACCATCTCCCTGTTAATGGTTGCTCTGCTCTTTCTTTTATTTTCCGATCTTCTCCATGGGTTCTGATCAAACGCCCTTTCCCAGAGCTGAAAAGGTCATCAGAGACCAGGATTCACAGGCCTGTTTTGAGCAACAACAAAAAGGAAAAGCAAAGCTCTGCCAACAAGAGCTGCACAGCCAAGCATCATCACCACGGAAGAAGTTCAGTCCAAGAAAGCGAGTGGCACAGAGGAGGCTCAGCAAACGGACCAAGAGGTCACGGATTCCACCCAGAAGTTGGGGGAGCAGTGGGATCTGGTGCCTCAGCAGACCAAAGCCCCAGCAGAGAAGGACTTGAAAAAAAGTAAGTACAATAAGGACCCCAACCCACTGCTACTGTGACCCCTTCATCACCACTGAGCCCTCCTGCCAGGGTTTCCATGGGCAGACTAACCACCTGTCAGAAGGATTCACAGGCCCAGGACAACCTGGAACCAAAAGGCATGCAGAAAGAACTAAGTGAACCTTAAAGCCCCACACCCTCAGCTACAGGAGTGCATTCTCAGGCCCCTGAGAAGGAGCACTCTGTAACTTCATGAATGGGGAGAGGCTGACATTCAGGATGACTCTGAAAGGGAGGAGCACAGGGTTCAAGTCAGTCCCCAAAAGGAAAGCTTGGTGACACTTAAGTTCCAAGCTCAAACTGAAGCTTGGCAGAGGCAGACTCCAGTCATGACTCTAGCACCCCGGGCCAAGTCACTTTACAGCCCTCAGCCTCCATGTCTCCATTTAGGAAACAGGAGGGAGGTAAAAACCTGTTTCCTTGGGCTGTGGGAGTAAAGTGATAATCCATGTTACTAATTAGACAGTACAGTATTCAGTTAATGTTCAGGTATTATAAGTACAAGTCAATACAATTGCAGCTGCTGTAATTATAGTCTGCAACCACGTGGGACAGAACCTCAAAGTCCCACACTGAGAAGCTGAGGCTCTCAGAGAAGACTAAAGACTCACACAGAGGACTACTATAGAACCAGGACAGATGTGTGAACTTCATGGTCCCAGAGAAGGATCTTTCTTCATCAGGAACTCAGATAGCATCTTGTGACAGTGAAGAAGGCTATAGCGGTGGGAAGTAAGGTCCCCAGGTTTGTTCCCCAGGCTGTTATCTCTGTCTTTCTGACAGACACACAGCTGTCTCCTTTCCAGTGCCCATACTTCCTTATTTCAGGCTCTAGGGCAGATTTCAACATGGAGTCCCTTAGCCAGGCATCTCATGAGAACCACTGTGTTAGGCCGCCAGGCTCTGTAACACTCACAGTGTGGAAAGGAAAAAAAAATCTTGTTAGATGGGAACATGATCATTCTGTGTGCAGAAATGAAGACAAACTAAACTTGGATCTTTCAAAGGACCTTAAAGATCACATAGGTAGTGATTCCTCACAAGTGACCATACACCTGTATGGGGACATGAACAAGTGACTTAAATACAGAGAAGCCATGGTGGAGGGCTAAGGGTCACAGACTCGAGAGGCTCCACTGTAATATACAATGCCGAAGTTGCATTTGACACACGAAAAATCTGGAAACTATGAGGGTCAGCAGCTAGAATTCAGCTGAAAATATGAGTGTGCACGGAAGATCCAAGGGAGTCATGGAGGTTCTAATGACCCAAGAAGGTTTCTGCTCCTTGAGATGGAACCTGAGAAGAGGGCAGGCTCCTGTCTCAGCTTTGGTCATTTTCATCTACTGACCTCATTCTCTTTACCCAGGCTACACTTGTAGGCAGATTTTCCTTTGACCACCAGCTCACCAAAAACAACACGGAGACTTGTTATTAATTATAAACCTCAATGTATAGCTTGGGCTTACACTATTAGACCTTATAACTTAAATTAATCAATTTATATTCATCTTTGTTTCGCCTCATACCTTTTTACCTCTCTTCCACCTTGAACCTCCTGCTTGGTTCCCTTGTCCTCTGGCATGCATCTTTCGTGCACCTAGATTCATCTGCTCTTCTTCCTTTCTGCCTGAAATTCCCACCTAACCTCTTCCAGCCTAACTATTGGCCAATCAGCTTTATTTATTTTATTTTTATTGATTGAACAAATTTTATTAAACCAATTAGAAAATGACTTGGCAACAAAACATATCTTCACTGTGTACAAAAAGATTGGCCACAACACACACCCTTGCTGCTTCCTTTTCTCAAGCATGAATGTAGCCACCTTTCTCCAGTGCAAAAGGTCTAGAGAAAAAGTTTAACTTGTCCTAGCTCACAGTACACAGAGACAGACACAGGGCTGCAATCCAAAACTCTCACTACCTGGGAAATTGGAGACACCTCTTTCAACCTACTGCTACAGTGTGAACGTCCTGCCTAACCCTCGTCCTTTGATGGTCACAGATTTTATTTACTGTGTGATAGGAATAAAGTCATTATATCTAAGGACATTTTGAAAGAGATTAGACATGCCTCAGAGAACTTCCCTTTTGTTCCATTTCAAATAATTTCCCTCCATCCTGACCTTCCTAATTGCATTTAATTGTGAATCAAAACTGTGTTTTAGAGACTCTCATTTTCCTCCCAAGGATGCCACTTACTAAGTAACAATGAGTAAGTATGTAGAAGAAATGGCAGGAGTCTTCCAGCAGCCCGCCTCCCGGCTAGCTTTAACCGAAATAATTACACGAAAATTGTATTCATTTAAATACTGTTTGGCCCATTAGTTTTAGCCTCTTATTGGCTAACTCTCACATCTTGATTAACCCATTTCTAATAATCTGTGTAGCCCCATGAGGTGGTGGCTTACTGGGAAGGATCTTAACCTGTGTCCATCTTGGAGAGGAGAGCTATAGCGTCTGCCTCACTGCCTTCTTCCTCCCAGCATTCTGTTCTGTCTTCCCTGCCTACCTATATTCTGACCTATCAGGTCAAGAAGTTTTCTTTATTAATTAACCAATGAGAGTAACACATAGACCAATGACCCTCCTCCATCATAAGTACTTGAAATGTGTGCTTCAGCCCCCTTGAACTTTGTTGAGAATCTGTGATATAGGTTGTTTCGTTATTCTTTAGCTCTTTGGCAGGACTGATACCCAGTTCCCATAAATCTGCCATCTTTTTCTGACTTATGAATGGCTGACCTTAGCATTTTTGTTTCTAGGCAGCTTTTCTTAAATTATCCAGTCTATCTATTGCCTTTGGGAGTTTACCATTCTTTACTAATTACTTTGTAGGCTGCTGTGTAGCTGAGTGTCTCTCTGCAATGAGTCTTCCTCAAGTTCATGTCTCTTCTTTCCTCGTTTATCCTCACTATTCCCAGCTTTCAAGTTATTCTATTCAAATAATTCCTTTCCATCACTAACTTCCATGCTCAAGTTTCATTGTGTATCAAAACTGTGTTTTAAACATTCTGACCTTACTCCCTAGAATGCCACATAGTAACTGTCAGACATTATTTGAAATATATACCTGGGCCCCCCAAAATTTTCTCAGAATCACTGTTTCTAATACAGTATGCTCAACTTTTAAGTTTTACATCAAACAATAAGGAATAATAAGGCATCAAAAATGATGTTACTATTTATGAACACATTGCTATAATCTTAGAACTTGTGAAATTAATGGAAGAAGAATCTGAGCTTGAGGCAAGCCTGAACTACACGATAAGATGTTACCTATCCTGGCAGGACATAAAATCAGAGAGCCACATGAGGGAGCTGAGGCTTAGAGAGGAACATGGAAAGTTAACGAAATGCAGAGAAGAATGGCATCAGTATGTGAACTTCACGGTCCCTGTGAAGGAATGTGACCCTGCATGAGGTGTAAGAGCATCATTCTCTCCATGAGAGAGTGGAGAAGGGTATGAGGGTAAGGAGGTAGGACCCCAGCCTCATTGCTCTGACTCGTATTGCTGCTTCTCTGACAATCACACAACCACTGCCCCTTCCCATGGCACTTTCTTCATCATTTTCAGGCTCAAGAATCTCACACTCCATGGATCGAACTACCCTCCAAGCCACCTTACAACATCTGAGCTCAAGCCTTAGTAACCTGATACAAATTCTGATGTCAGGTAAGGGTCTTGTTAAAGGGGAACCTGTAACACAAATAATGAAACTCAAGGGACAGATACAAGGGTTCAACCTGAAGATCAGAAAAGCAAAGCAATTAGCACTAGCTTTTACCTCACCCCAGACTGAAATGGGCAAGATCCAGTATCCACGAATCCTGAAGACTTCACAGTCCACTGAGGTCCTGTCTCTTCCCCTTCATATTCTTCTCTCTGTCTTGCCATATCGCTCCTGCCTCGACCTTCTTAGTGCTGGGATCACTTTTGTGTGTGTTCTGATTCTCATTTAGACAGATTCTATCTTGTTAGCCCAGGATGGCTGTGAACTAACAGAGATCCATCTGCCTCTGTCTCCCAAGTCCTGGGATTAAAGGTGTATGCCACCATTCCCTTACTTGTATATCTGACTAGTATGGCTGCTTGCCCTCTGATCGTCAGGAAAACTTTATTTTTTAAAGCACAAATAGTATACCATTATAGGAGCATGAAAAGTCTGGATTCAGAACCAAATGTATCTGAGCTGGCAGATATTCTGGGACTTCTAGTCCACATAGATGGAGGTTCTTCACAGGTGAGCCTCCACCTGTGTGGGACCTGCAACTAAAATGAACACTCAGAAGACTGATGGAGGAATATGAAGAGTCACCGGTTAGAAATGATGTCTCTGGGCTCTGCAGTGCTGAAGCTGCATTTGACACATGAAGAAACAGGAACCCATGGGGGTCAGCAGTGAGCCTTGCCCAAATGTGACCCAGAACTCAGGTCAACATATGAGTGGGTTTTGAAATATTGGGAGTAATACAGCTCTGGAAGTTCTAAGAAGGTTTCTTCCTTTAGATGGAACCAAGAAGAGGATAGGTTTCTGCCTTGGCTTCAGCCTGACTTCCCATATTTCACTTATACAGGCCACACCCTTGTCTCTTCCTCTTTTCAAACATGAAAAGGCCATCACTTTCCAGTGAACTAGGTCTGGAGAGAGATGTTAACTTGTCCTGGCTCACAGCACATACAGATGCATGCAGGAAAAGAATCTAGAGCAATAAAAGCCTTGGAGGATTTCCTTCACACTTATCCTGCTACTACTCTGTGAAAGTCTTGTCCATACCTAACCTTTGTCTCTCCCTTCAAAGTCCATTCTTCCTTCCCCACAATAAGCTTTGAAGACTACATTGTCAAACGCCATCACCCCTTCCATCTCACACATGTACTAATGACAATGATGGAAAACATAGGCTGGAGAGGATGTGGGGTCAAGGGAACACTCCTGCATTGCTGGTGGGAGGGCAAGATGGTGTAGCCTCTTTGGATAGCAGTAGGATGACTTCTTAGAAAATTAGGAAACAACCTTTCTCAAGACCCAGCAATACCACTTTTGGGTATATACTCAAGGGAACATCAATCATACCAAAAGTACACATGCTCAACTATGTTCATAACATAGCCAGAACCTGGAAACAACCTAAATTCCCCTCTACTGAAGAATGGATAAGGAAAATGTGGCACATTTGCATAATGGAGTACTACGTACCTGGAAAAAAATGACATCTTGAAATTGCGGGCAAATGGATGGATCTAGAAAACATCATATTGAGTGAGGTAACCCAGACCCAGATAGACAAATATCATATGTACTCATTCATAATTAACTTTTAGACATAAAGCAAAGAAAAACACCACACAATTCACAATCCCAGAGAACCTAGAGCACAAAGAGGACCCTAAGTAAGACATTCATAAATCTAATCTACATGAGAAGTAGAAAATGACAAGATCTCCTGAGTAAATTGGGAGCATGGAGACCATGGGAAAGAGGGGAAAGAGTGGGGAGAGGAAGAGAGGAGAGTGAAGAGAATTATAAAGCTCTATAAAGACATTTTTTTGAAAAAAAAAAGTCATCACCGCTAGTTGTCACTGGCATCATTTAATGTTGGTCTTATAAAAAGCCATTCCAGAAACTATGTCTCAGTTTCATTATCTGAGCATTGATGTTGCTTACCCTTTGTTCCACTACTACCTCTTCAACAGGTGCAGGTTTACATCTTCCAGCTGCGCACAAGAAGGCTCTTGCACATGGGGCTTAGGGAAGATCCCACTGGTCATATTGCATCACATTAGACTGTTCATGTCTCTCTTGTCACAAAGCTTCCTCCTATGCTAACAACAGCTCACTTCTCTCCTTCACTATTCCCACCTTCCTACTTGTTTCATTAAAACAGTTCCACGACTTCCCTGACACCCATGCTCATTCTCATTGTGTATCAAAACAGTGTTTTGAAGACTCTCACCTTCCTCCCTAAGATGCAACTTAGTAACTGTCAGTTATTATTTGAAATATGTACCTGAGTCCCCATGAATTCTCTCAGAATTGCTCTGTCTTATGGAACGTACACCAGCCTTGAAGTTTTAGATCAAACATAAGGGAATTACAGGCATCAAAATAAGATTACTAACTGGCCCTGAACATATTCCTATAATCCAAGAATGTATGAAATTAATGCAAGTGGAATCTGAGCTTGAGGTAAGCCTGAACTACGCAGTAAGATACTATATATTTCTGTACAACATAAAGTCAAAGATCCACATAAGGAAGCTGAAGCTCAGAGAGGAATGAAGATTCACACAAAGTAACAGAGTAGACTGCCGTGCCAGCACAGCAACTGTCGTTCTTCTGAACGAGGGACGTCGGGATTAACACACAACACAACTTCATGTTCAGCAGACAAGCCTTTATTCCACTTTCTCACACAGTATATATAGTCCTCAGCAGGCGAGGCCAAGACTGCAAAAGCAGGAAGCTCATCACCATAACTCAATGGCTTAAGGGTAAACATCCTTAGAAACATTGCTGAAAACAACAGGTTGTTCCTGTTTTTGTTCCTGTTTTCAACCAAGTGCAATAGTGCAAAACAGATCAAGTGGGGGTGTGAGGGCCTGTCCTCTAGGGACCAAACAATTCCCCCCTTTTTATTTTAAAAGCATGAGAGCCCCTGTCTTAGGACTCCCCCAGATAGAGACTCTTACCCATCTACGGGAGGCCTTAATCCCTGTCTTAAGCGAGCTCACTATACCAGGAGAGTTGCCCGTCGTAGGGATCCCTCATGACTTCTGCAATATCTGCAGCCAGAGTTGGGGCACTTCCCGATTACTGGAAGACAGTCCAAGCAACACTTGTTGAGTGACAGTGTGCTGTATGTGGGATTCCCACATAAAGTGACAGAGAATCTAAAAACAGATAACCCCAATAGCAATATGAGTACAAGTGAGCATTCCAGACAATCACTGGACCCAGCCCCCAAGCTGGGTCATGGTGTTCTACTGACTGAATGCAGAAACAGCAGGGACCCATGTGTTATTAATACTAACAATATGATAAGCTGTCTGCAGGGTGAAATTCAAAAAGAAATTCCAAGGGCCATCCAAACATGCATTCAACTGTTCAATCACATCAGAAGCATTTATAACATTAGCAGGTGTAATGTACAAGACATTTGTTGCAGGAGTCAAAGGGAATCTACCTGTTCTTGCAAGAGCACAGCTTGTTGATTTAAATTTTAAAGTCCAAGTCCAATATGAGTGTCCAGAGCACTCCGTGTCTGCAGAGACTTGCTAACCCTTCCAGACAGTTGATTCACAGTCTCTATAGTCACAGTTGTCTGCAAAATGGCAACTCCAGCAACCGTAGTTGCAGTGGCAGTGACAGCAATAGCAGCAACAATTGCAGCTGTTCGCCCGCTGTCGGCAAATGATGATCTCCTGATGTTCTTGACACACCAGCACCCGCAGAGCAATCACAGCAGGCACTCGAACGATCAAAGCTCCATCAGAACCATTCCAGCAATTACTCAGCTTTCAGATCCTGGAAGAACAATTAAGAATATCGCCCCCCCCAAAGTGCCATTCCACAATACAAAGAAAAATGGGGAAGGAACACAAGCAGAGGATCAAATAGTCATATTGTGTCCAAAAGTATAACAAATCAGACTCTTGAGTGATACATTCTCCCCACATAACTGTCGGGTGGAGATTAAAATCCCCATCAGCATCCCAACACCAAGGAGCAGGTTTGGGACCATAGGTATTATGCAATACTAACTGGCATTAAAAGTGGGGGGTTTCTCAGCAGATTCCCCATCACTCATAATTCTGTTGTTGTTACCAGAGTCATCACCTGAAGCAGAAGGAGCAGAAGTTTCCCTGCAGCAGGCAGGTGTGTAACGTCCATCTGCCATAACTGATTTGGTCGTAACCCTCATGGGTTAACTCCTAAATTGGTGCTGCTTAGGAAAGGAGCACACTGAGGACAAGAAGAAGTAATGGCTTGTGCTACTTCTGGGGTACATCGAGTATGATTACGAAGGGAGCGCGTATTAAGGTGAAATTTATCATGTATTTCTTGGGCACGGTCAGAAGTAAAGCAAACGTGTATATTTATCAGCTAAATCATTACTTGCTGACAATGGCACAGGCAGCCGAGTATGACTGCGGATATATCTAACAAACAAAGGCTCAGTCCGTTGCCATACCAAATGCTGAACGCAGCTGAGCAAATGATGAACCTTAGGGGTAGGTGATATATATGCAGATGTCTCCAATGGCTTAAAAGTGTGGGCCATATACACACTATCAGTATACAAATTTACAGGCTCCCCAGGGAAGAGCTGGAGTGCAATGAGGCAGGCTGCTACCTCTGCAGTTTGGGTTGATACATCCCCCACAGGACTTTTCCATAGTTTTCCTCCAGAGATCACTACTGCATTACCTTTAGAGGAAGCATCTGTAAAGACAGCATGAGCTGAGGGTATGGGAGATCCTCTAATTACTTAGGGGAATATAATGGGATGATTTTTTTTTATTAAATTATAAAAGTTTCCATTTCAGCCCCTCCTCCCAACACCCTCCCACTCCCCCCACTCCCTCTCCTCCTCCCTCTCTATCCCCTAGAGCAGTCAGGGTTTCCTGCCCTGTGGGAAGTTCAAGTTCCTCCCCCCTCCCTCCAGGTCCAGGAAAGGTGAGAGTCCAAACAGACTGGAGCGCCAAAATCCAGTATATGCAGAGGAAGCAAGTCCCAGTGTCATTGTCAATGGCTTTTCAAAAAGGCTCCGGGCCAGCCACATTCAGAGAATCTGGTTGGATCACGTCCTCGTTCAGTCCCAGTCCAACAGGCCTTGGTGAACTCTCATTATATCAGTTCTAATGGGATGATTTTTGAACAGGACCATTAATGGATGCTGAGGATAATGAGAATCAAAACTTCCAGAAAAGGAGATGAGAAAAAGTGTCCACTCATCATGGTACTGCTGTAATTGTACTAGCTGGTCTTTAGTATAAGGTGTTATAATCTTGTCAGGGTACTTCCCAAATGTCTGGGCAGCAACCTTCTTAGCTTTCCAAAGTAACTGTAATAGAGCTTCATAGTATGGGTGACTACCCTTGCTTGAGAGGCAGGCATGTGTACCCATAAAATAGGTCCATCCTGCCAAAAGACTCCCGTAGGGGCAAAATTGGAAGCAAGAACTACAAAATTTAATGATTGATCATAATCAATCTGCTGGAGATGGACCCTTTCAATGTTGTCCTGAAGAAGCCTTAAGGCCTGCCTGGCCGCAGGCGTCAATATTCAGGGAGAGGTTGGGTCAGGATCTCCCAAGAGCATATCATACAATGGACTTAAGTCACCTGTTTTGATTGCTAGGGAGGGGCATATCCACTATATGTCTCCCAGTAACTGCTGCCAATCATGTAAGGTTTTAATATGAGAGGTGTTAATAGTTAATTTTATTGGTTTAATTCCATCCACGGCCAATTGGTACCCAAGGTAGGAATATGGGACTTGCATTTGGACCTTCTCAGGAGCTATGATCAGCCCCACCTTCTCTAAATCCTGTTGCATTTGAGTATAGAACTTTTGACAGCTGATCCCCCATGGCCTTGGTTGGCAGGTCTTTCCAAGCTTTGGTAGCCACGGTCTCCCTCTGGAGATATACGGCAGGATCGAGCACAATTTGATTGGCCAAGTCAACATAAGCTCCTGCTCCAGTTAGCATGTCTAGATTGCGCTGTGCCTGTCCTGCTTGTGCATTTAACTTAGCCGTTTGTATACAATTTTTTTGTGGATCCCATTTTACCCCAATCCATCCTTACCGGTCTAGGATGACCCCATCCGCTAACCCTTCTTTCTCAGATCTCGGTGGGAACCTCCACTTTGCCGCGCCAGCACGGCAACTGTCGTCCTTCTGAGCGAGGGACATCGGGATTAACACGCAGCACAACTTTAGGTTAGGCAGACAAGCCTTTATTCCACTTTCTCACACAGTATATATAGTCCTCAGCAGGAGAGGCCAAGACAGCAAAAGCAGGAAGCTCATCACCATAACTCAATGGCTTAGGGGTAAACATCCTTAGAAACGTTGCTGAAGGCAACAGGTTGTTCCTGTTTTTGTTCCTGTTTTCAACCAAGTGCAAGAGTGCAAACCAGATCAAGTGAGGGTGCGAAGGCCTGTCCTCTAGGGACCCAAAAGTAGACGATCATTGGTGTATGAACTTCATGGTCTCCGTGTAGGAACATGTCCCTGAAGCAGGTGTACGAGCATCATTCTCTCCATTAGAGAATGGAAAAGGTGTGAGGGTAAGCAGGTAGGATCCCAGTGCTGCTACCCTGACTCCAGCTGCTGGTTCTTTGACTATCACACAAATGCTGTATCTTTTTATGTCTCTTTCTTCATCTTTCAGGCGCAACCACAGCATTCAACGTGGATCCCACTGCCCTCCCGGACTCCTTACAACTACTGAGCTCAAACCTTGGAAATCTGAGACAAATTCTGATGTCAGGCAAGGGACGTGTTAATTGAGAATCTGATGACTCTGGATTTAGAACCAAAATAAGCTGAGCTGTCATCTGGGAATGCGACTTATAGTCTCCATAGATGGTGGTTCTTCAAAGGCTAGCTTCTACCTGTATGGGGACATGGGAAGTCAACAGTCAAAGGAGCTATGGTAAAATGTTAAGCATCCCAGACTAGAAATGATGTCTCTGGGATCTGCAGTGCAGAATTTTTATTTGGCACATGAAGAAACTGGAACCCATGGGGCTCATCACTGAGCATAGCCCAGCTGTCACCCAGAGTTCAGCTCAAAGTATGAGTGGCTTCTAAAATCCCAGGGGTACTGCAACTCCAGAAGTTCTAAGAGAGTCTCTTCCTGTAGATGGCATTAAGAAGAAGGTCGGCTGCTGTCTCAGCTCTAGCCTGACTTCCCTTATTCAGCCTATGCAGGCAACACCCTTGCCTCTTTCTGTTCTCAAACATCAAAGTAGCCACTTCCTTCCAGTGCAAAAGTTCTAGAGATAGAGGGTAATGTGTACAAGTTTACGGCCTATAATGACAAACAGAAGAATGGAATCTAGACCAATGTGAGCCTGGGGAATGAGTTACTCTTTCTCTATCCTACCACTACTCTGTGAAAGTCCTGCCCACATCAAAACCTTTCCTTCCATTCAAAGTCCATTCTTACCCAAGCTTACATTAAGACTTTAGAATGAAGACTACAGAGTCAAAACCCATCACCCCTAGTTGTTAGCTAGGGATCCTTTAATGTGCGTCCTGGTAAAGGCCATTCCAGAGACAGTATCTCTATTTTACTATCTGACCACTCACACTGTTCACCCTTCATTTAGATGCCACTTCTCCAGCATGTGCAGATCTCACATCTTCAAGCGGCACACAAGAAGATCCTTGCACACATAGGGAAGACTCCATTGATGATATTGTAGCAGAGATTAGACTGTTCAAGTATCTCTCTCTTCTCAAGAAGTTTCTTCCTATGCTACCAAAAGATTCCTTCTCTCATTTCTTTTCCTCACTATTCTCAGCTTCCAAGTTGTCCCATTAAAACAATTTCACTCCATCCAGAACTTCCATGTTCAAATTTCATTGTGTAATAAAAATGTGTTTTAAACACTCTCAACTTCCTCCCAAGGATGCCACTTAAAAACTGTCAGCTATTGCTTGAAATATGTACACAAGTCCCTAAGAAGGTTTTCAGAATCACTCTGTCTGATGGATGCTAATTTCTATCTTGAAATTTTAGAACAAAAGCTAAGGAAAATTATAAGATTTCAAAAATATGATTATGGACTGGTAGTGAACATATTCCTATGAATCCTGAACATGTGAAATTAATGTAGGAAGAATATAAACTTGAGACAAGTTTGAACTACACAGTAAGATGCTACCTGTCTCTGTGGCACACAAGCTTAGAGACCCCATGAAGGAACTGAGGCTCAGAGAGGAATGGAGACTCACTCATAGGGCTAGAGTAGACCAACATAGGTGTGTGCACTTCATGGTCCCAGTGTGAGAACCTGTCACTGAAGCAGGTGCAAGAGCATCATTCTCTCCATGAGACTGGAGAAGGGTATGAGGGTGAGCTTAAAGGACCCAAGTACTGCTGCTCTGAATCCTAGCACTGATTTTCTAACAATCACACACCAATTGCCCCCTTGTTTGACACTTTATTCATTGTTTCCAGGCTCAGTATTCACATGCTACATGAATCCCATTACCATCAAAGACTCGTTACAAATACTGAACTCAAGCCTTGAAAAGTTGAGACAAATTCTGATGTCAGGTAAGGGGCTTGTTAAATGGGGACCTGACTAATTTGTATTCAGAACTAAATGTAAGCTGAGCTGGAAGCTGAGAATGAGAATTCTAGGTCACATAGATGGTGGTTCTTCACAGGTGAGCCTCCACCTGTATGGAGGTTTGGGACAGGCAGCTAAAATGAAAGGTCGAAGGAGACAGGGAGCCATGCTAAGAATCACGGGCTAGCAATATTCTCTTGGGACCAGCAGTGCTGAAGTTTCATTTGACACATGAAGAAACTGTAACCTGTGATTGTCAACAGTGAGACTGGCCCAAATAGAACCCAGGGATCAATTCAAAATTTGAGTGGGTTCTGGAATCTCAGAGTCATGCAGCTCTTCATCCACCTTAGGGAGGACTCCACTGACTGTATGGCAGCACATTAGCCTGTTCATGGCTGTTCTGCCACAAAGCTCTTATGCTAACAACAGGTTCCTTCTCTAGTTTTTTTACTCACTGTTCCCATCTTTCAACTTATTCCATTAAAATAATTCCATTACATCCCGATCATCCATGCTCATTTTCATTGTGTATCAAAACTGTGTTTTAAAGACGCTCACCTTTCACCCTAAGATGCCACTCAGGAACTGTCAGCTATTTTTGGAAACAGGTACCTCAGTTCCCAAGAAGATTCTCAGAACCTTTCTGCCTGGTGGATGTTATACATACCTTGAAGTTTCAGATCAAACACTAAGAACTAATCATAAGACTTTAAAACTAACATTAGTAACCAGTCCTGAGCATATTCCTAAAGTATTAGAATCAATGAAATTAATGCAGAAAAAAATCTGAGCTTCAGGCAAATCTAAAGTAGACAGTAAGTGGCTACTTTCTCCTGTGTGACATGAAGTTAGGGACCCACATGAGGGAGTTAAGGCTCAGAGAGGAGTGGATATTTACACAATGGACTAGAGTAGACTAGCATTGGTGTGTGAGCTTCATGGTTGCATACAGTACAGAACCATGTCCCTGCAGCACCTAAAAGATCATCATTCTTTCTATGAAACTGGAGAAGGTATGAGGGTCAGCTTGTAAGAACTTCAGTTTTATTTCCCTGAAGACTATTGTTGGTGCTCTGACAATCACACAACCACTGTCTCTTCCAATGGCCCTTTCTTCATCATTTCCAGGTTCAACAATAACACCCTACATGGATCCAACTACCCTCCAAGACTCCTTACAACTACTGAACTCAATGCTTGAAAATCTGAGACAAATTCTGATGTCAGGTAAGGGGCTTATTTAATGGGAACTAAGGAGTCTGAATTCAGAATTAAACTTAAACTGAGCTGGCATCTCCGAATGGAATTCTAGTTCACATAGAGGGTGGCTCTTCACAGGTAGCCTCTACCTGTATAGGGATCTGGGAGACAAAACTAAAATGGAAGATCAGAGGAGACACGGAGGAATGTTAAAAGTCACACACTAGAAAACAGGCTAGAAATGACCAGACTGGGCCCAGCAGTTCTATAGTTACATATGACCCATGAGGAACCTAGAATCCATGGGGGACAGAAGTAAGCATGGCCCAAAGGAAACCCAGAGTTCAGCTCAGAGTATGAGTGGGATCTGAAATGTCAGGGATCAGGCAGGTTCTGAAGTTCTAAGAAGATCTGTTTCCTGGAGATGGACCCCAGGGAGAAGGAAGGTTCCTGTCTCCAGCAGCTTCAGTCTGACTTCCATTATTTCAATGTACCCAGGCCACACATGGCCTCTTCCTCAAGCATCAGAGTCTCCACCTTTCTCAAGTGCACAAGGTCTAGAGAGAGAGAGGTTAACTTCTCCAAGCTAACAGCACACAGAGATACATGCAGGGCAGGAATCTAGAACAGTGGGAGTCTGAGGAAAGATTTTTCTCAGCCTTCATCCTGCTGCTGCTCTCTGAGAGTCCTTC